AAACCCTGAAATTTACTGAAAGTTACTGAAACGCAAAGAGTTTCATTGTGATATTCAATGGAAAAAAAAAAATGTTCAAAAAGGCTTGGCAAAAAAAAACACTAAACTTCTTCTTGGGTAAATATTAATTCACTGCAATAGGTAGGTATCTATCCAAATATATACGAGATCTCCTACCTATCAGTCACCGACTTGATACATATGGGAACAATGAATCAGATACGATGGCTATATATGTATGAGTGTCAATAATTTTTATCAATAATATATATATGAATAAAGAACAATGAATCTATAACTTTATCAATAAGAGCATAAATATTGTTAAATTATCAATAACATTATCATCCAATATGTATGAGCGTCAAGATAGGGGCAGTAAAATACCGTGCACCAAAAATTGTCAACAATGAAAAAATTACGACTCAAGTAATTGTGACTCACAATGGAAAAAATTATGACTCAAGCAATTGTGACTCACAGCTCAAGCAACAACAGTAGAGAGCCAAAATTAAGAATAGATAATTTACAGCAGTATTGCTCTGATACCAATGTTGAAATCTTAAGGGAAGAGATTGACACCTCTCCCAAGATTACTGGCGATGTCGCGAGACTTGGGATCGCAGAGATCATGCCCTTTCCCAGAACAATGAGAACTCAAAATTGATTTTGTGGTCTACGTCTCCATGGGCATGAAACCCTTTTTAAAGAGGAATGGAATGAGGTCGTTCTCCAACATTTGGCTTTCCTCCGGAAATATCTGAGAAACGTGGCCTTGTAATCCTGGGAGGTGGGTGATTATTTTCTGCCTGTTAAATAATGACACTCCCTCTCTCTAAAAAGCCTCCCTATTTTAGTGATCAACATTAAATTATAAGAGAGAGAAAGATGATACGTTTAAAGGCCCCACGACCACGTACACACGTACCAACATAACACATATTCAGATGTGGACTTCGTATCACCTGGATCCCCTTGATAGCTTGCATCCGTGTAACATTGAATTGCAATTTCAGATCATCTTCCATATGTAAGTGCAAAATTTTCAATCTCATTCAAATATCTGAGGACTCCCTTAACCACCTTCCAATGGTCAACTCTAGGGTTGTATTGAAATTGGCTAATAATGCTCATGACTAAAGACAAGTCAGGCCTTGTCCCTGTTATGATATATATGAGGGATCTCACTACACTTTTATATGGCACTCTCTCCATGGCTCTCTTATCTTTATCTTCAGTAGGACACATTTTATTGCCGAGCATCGTTTTGTTGTCTATCGAGGTAGACATAGGTTTACATTTATCAATCTCAAACTTTTTCAGTATCTCCTTGTAATAGGTTGCTTGGAAAAGTTTGATTGTTCTCTCTTTTCTATTTCTTCTTATTTTGTTGCCCAACACATATGAAGCTTCGCCAATATCCTTCATATCAAAGTATTATGCAAGAAATTTTTTTTATTACTACTACTAGGGCAATCGAGCTACTAACGATTAATATATAATCCACATACAAGGAGAAGAATACCACATCACTCCCACTGACCCGTTTATAGATACAGTGGTCTTCCTTATTTGAAGAAAACCCTGCAAGAACTAGGGTACCTTGAAATTTAATGTACCACTGTCGTGATGCTTATTTTAGGCTATAGAAGGATTTGCTAAGTTTGCATATTAAGTTTCTCTTTTTTTTTTTCCTAAAATCTATTGGGTTGTTTCATATAGATTTTTTCTTCTAAATCTCCATTTAAGAAGGCTATTTTCATATCCATTTGATGGACCTCAAAATCAAAATTGGCAGCTATGGCTATTAGGATTCAGACAGATGGAAACTTGACAACTGGAGAAAAGGTTTCATCATTGTCTATCCCTTCCTTTAGGGTGAATACCTTGGTTACAAGTTTGCCTTTGTATTTTTTTATTTTCCCCTCTGAGTTTAACTTCTTTTTGAAGATCCACTTACATCTTATTGCCTTATGGTTCTAAGGTAGAGGTACTAATTCCCAAATATGATTTTGGTTTATGGTAGCATATTCATCTTTCATGGCTTCTACCTAATAGTCTTTTTTCGAGACAGGTTAACACTTCATGGTAAGTTATAGGCTCAACATCTGGTTAATCTCCAACCCTATCATAGTGTTCTCCCAGGTAGATAAAGTGTTCAAAATATTGAGGCGGTCTACTAATTCAGTTGATCTTTCTTGGTTTGGGTTCTGGCTCAAGTCGGTTTGAGGATTCAGGTTCGGGTTCAATACAGTTTGAGGGTTCAGGTTTGGGCTCTAGAAACATAACCTTGTCTCTTGCCTCTCAAAGAGGCCGGCTTGTTTGTGACTCACTCGTGCTTCAATGAACTCTTCCTCGAATAAGTGAGTATGGTGGCTTCAATGATCGCTCCATTTTCAAGGTTGTAGAATCGATATCCCTTGTTATGGTTTCGGTAACCAATGACTATGGTTTTCACGGTTTTGGGTTCAAGTTTTGTCCTATTTTGGTATGGGATAAGGACTTGAGCATAGCATCCCCATACTCTTAGATGGTTAAGGGAATGAGCACGACCGGTGAATATTTCGTAAGTAAGTAGGCTAGTTTTTGTGGGAGTCTGATTAAAGATATAACATGCGATCAATACAGCTTCTTTCCAAAATTGAAAGATTTAATATTAATTAAGATTTCTTAAAGAGTAAGCTATGTTTAGTTTCTTTCTTCTACAAATATATGTAACTGTTAGGTCAGAAAAAACATAGTGAAGAGAAAAGAGTTTGTTTGTTGATATTGTGAAAGAGATCTTTGGGTTAGACATTAAAATGAGGTATCTTCTCTCAACCCTTTAATTTTAATTTTATTTTTTAATTTATTATTTTGCTCCCTGCATCAAATTGATCATCCCAATTCCCGACCTCGAGATGTATGGATATGAACAAAAAGAAAAAATTAAAGTCCTAAAAAAGTGTTCCATAGTCTATCTATTTTCAAATTTTATCAAGTATTTATAGATCTACTCAATTTATACCATTTTTAGAATTACATATTTTGTGAAATAGGATTGAAAAAGAAATCTCAAGCTATCACTGGAGCTACATATCCAAGGAAAATTTAAAGATGCGCCTTATTTGTAATGTACAAAGATGATGCTTTATATAAGGGTGAGGTTTGTATAAGGTACCCACTTTATATTATATATTTAAGGTGGGCATCTAAATTTTGCTAAAAGATGTAATTCTGATGTTAGAAACCTTAGGATGGCTTGAAAATCTATGTTTAATCCGAATTGTGAATTTAAAATTTCAAAAACCATGCAGATAGAACATATCTATAATCATTTGAAAATCTTGAAAATAAATTGTCCATTTAACTTGTTACAACATTCATTATTTTGAGGACTTAAGAATTTTGTTTCCAATATAAATAAAAGTTAACTTTGATAGAGGCTAGGTCAGAAATCTTGGACCGGCGAGGGTGGGTGGAACGATAAGGGATTATTTTGGTAAAGTCCTTTGATCATATTCTGGTATGTGTGAACATGCTACGACAAACTTCGCCGAATTGACAGCCGTGCTGCAAAGTTTGAAACTACTCCATGAGTTATAAGCAAATCAGGTTGTATTGAATAAACAATGACCAAATAATTTCAGAGAATTTGAGATCAATGTAGTTGCAAATTATGGACCTTAGTGGCCAATTATCAACCTCATTTTCACATATTTGTTGGGAAGCTAATAATTTGGTAGATGCACTAGCTATGGCGGGAGTTAGTTTGTTTTCAATTGATTATTTCTAACTTGCTTTGTAATCAGTTCTTTTTGCTTTTTTTATCTCTTTGTAAACAACCTTTGCTTTTTTTGTCTCTTTGTAAACAACCTTTATTAATGAAGGTCATGTGATTCTTTTCAAATAATTAAAAAAAAAGAATGAAAACTTGAAAATCAATCATCTCCAATTTGAAGATCGTAAAAAAAAAAAAAAGATAAGAGTCAAATCGTACAATTGTTTTCTATACAAACCACTTCAAAGATCTAGAGCACATGTTTTTTTAGCGCTAGACCCACTTTTCTAATAAAAAAGTGGTACGTGCAGCAGGGGACACACTTCTGTAATAGCTGCCTGGGACTTACTAAACATCCATCTTGTAAATGGACGTTTAAAAATGGTCATACCACAAAACTTTAAAATCAACGGTTTCAAATTAGGCTGAAAATTTGTATTCGTTAATTTTATTTTATTTTTGTGATTTCTAAACATCATAGTAGATATTTTCATTCCCTAAAATTTAGAACGCAAAATTTATCTCAAAAGTAGATTTTGGAGAGAGGAGTCATTTTCAATTTAAAGAAGGAAAATCGTTTCATGCGGACTGGTTTGCATTTCTACCCATGCCATCCAAGCATCCATCTTAAATATGGACTATCTAAAAACAATGAAAACTAACCATCCAAATGTTTTCTTACTGGAATTAGAATTTCTAGCTTTTAAAATTTATTTATTTTTTCATATTCATGATCTCCATGTTAGAGATAACATTTCTTTAAAATTTAAGTCTTAAAATCCATCTCAAAAATAGATTAAGAGGCGAGCATTTCTCCATATGTAGGCTTGGCCGCTACATAGAAGCCGGTCATTCAAAAAAACCATGTCCGTTTCTAATGGTCAAAGCACAACCTTACCAACTTTATACAGCCGTGGCCTGGCCAAAATCCGATCCGACGAGGTGGAGCCACCAACAAAGCATGCCCTGATGTAGGATGGCAACGGTAACTGATCCGGATTTGAATAGTATTTATGTCCAAAATATGGACCCATAACCAAACTTGTCAGGTCCCGGATTTGGTCTGTTGCCACCCCATAACTATGAGCCTCTACTTTGCCAGTAATATTAGAAATATTGCTAATATTGTGATAATATGAATACCCAATACGTGTCTAAAGACACATGATTGTCATCATATACCCAGACCCAGACCCAAACCGTAAACCCGGACCTGAATAGTATTTAGGTCCAAAATTTAGACAGCTACTGGACCTGAGGCCGGGTAATACTCATCGGGTGAGGTTCATTGCCACCCCTACCCTTCTCTCTCTCTTTCTCTAACTTGCGGGATTCAAACCCTTCTCACTACGTTATATATGCATACCCTCTCCACTTCGCCAATAGAAACATGGCTAATTCTGATTGTAACTCCATGCCAGAGGAGTTTTCTCATCACCGTCCAATTCCAATTCAAACCCTAACCCATCGCACTTGTCCTCACCACCACCACCACCACCACCACCACCACCTTCACCTTCACATCTGTCACCGAAACCGTTTCCATTCATTCTTCCATCTCGCCCCTCCGTTTTGCCCTAATTCTCTTCCTTACCCCATTCCTAGGGTATTACCTCCCCCATGGCCTACCCCTTACCCACCACCCTCTGCAACTCCACTTGCACACTCTGAGACCCTAGCTGATGCAGAACCTTCACGGTAAGAATTGGACCCATGAATCCGGGTTTTGTGAAATTAGGGTTTTTCATAAATGGGGTTTTGTGGTTCCTTTGATTTTCAGGAATTAGGGTTTTGTTTTGGTGGAATTGCAGAGAGGAATTGGAAGATGGAGAGGAGGAGGAGGAAGAGCCTGTGTTTGTTATGACCGATGAATGGATGGAGTTCTTTGCTAAATCAGAAGCCAAAAGGAGACAGGGTATACTCTCTCTCTCTCTCTAAAATTCAATTGGTGGGGCATGTTTTTCTCAATGAATGAAAAATGGGCGAAAACTTCCGATATTATGGGCTCCTTTTTTTGTTTTGATGAATGCAGAGAAGGAAGAGAAGCTTAGAAAAGGGCATGGAAGATCTTAGAGCTCATTTTCTGTGAAACTTGTGACCTGCAAAAGTATTGGCCATTTGCGGAGTCCGTATTTTATTGGCTTTTTTTTTTTTGGCCAATGCAAGTGGTTGACTGTTTTCAAAGAATTGTTATTCAATTCTTACCACCAAATTAACCACATGAATTCTATTCTAGAGTTGATGCCCCCACTCTCTTTCAAAGGTATATTGGAGTATAAATGAATTAGTAAGCCAAGCATCAACATAGTTAAAGGGCAAATTATTTTTTCTTGGTTAAATGAATATTGGTTAATTCAATTTCTAATTTCTCCCGTTATATTAGTTCGGAAAATTCATCATAATACCCATAGGAACAAATTAAGTATTTTACCTGTATTTGTTTTTTAATTTCAAAGTATATATGAAAAAAAATAAGGGAAAAGTTTATATAGAGCCGAGCCTTTTAAACAATCAAATTAGGGCCAATTTCACTAGAAGAAGGTGTTTTGATGCCCAAATATCATCAAATTGATCATGCGGACATCAAGATGCATTAACATGAGAAAAAGATGGATTTCAAGTTTTGAAAATAGCATATTTTGTCATGCAGTTTTTGACCGTCAATTTTCAAGATTTTCAAGTTTTCATCTCTCTCGATCTACATTATTTTCTAACTTTTAAACTTTATAAATAAAATTAAAAATATATTTTAAGGCTATCAAAGCGATTTCCAATATTGAAGCCACATTTCTCGATACTATTTGAAGATAGCTCTAATTTGATTGTTTAGAGCCTAGGCTCCATACAAACTGCACCAAAAAAAATAATAGTTTGGAACGGGTGCAAATGGGTACAATATCGAATAGCAAATGGGTGCATTATCAATTAATTCATCTCTCACAGGTATTTTGATAGATTTTTATTAGTTTTTAGGAAAAATATCTTTGTATATTCTGTTTTGGTGTACCATTTTTCATAGATCCAAAGTAGCATTTCTTTATAGTTCTATGCTTTTAAAAAGCATAGGTTTTCTAAAAAATTATTTTTTAACACTTGGACTCAATTTACTCGAACTGATCAATTTTTCGTCCAAACAAAAACCAAAAGCACACCTCTATCTATCTACTATACCTCTCCCTATATGTCAAGAGTACTTATAAACAAACCTCTCTCTATACGTCAAGAGAGAGTACATAGAGATGTTCCTCTCACTATATTATTAAGAGAGTACGTAGAGAGGGGTAAGCTTTTTATGCTTCTTCTAGAGCATATAAGTTCTATCTTCTTTTTTATCCAATCATCCATTTGGAATGGAGGGTTAAAATTATCCCAATCACAATATGATGTTTTACACTATTTTATTTTATTTTATTTTATTTGTAAAATATGTTGACATCAAATTTTGGACGTCCATTCTTTTGTTAAACTTGCACTAGCGAAAAATATAAAATTCAATAAAAATAAAATGATCAAAATATTTCAGAAAGTTTTAAAAGGTAGTTTGGTCATTATTTTTTATCGAAAAATTATTTGTTAATATTTTTTATAGGTATGTCCCAATGAGAAGATGGCACATAGTAAATTTCATATTCATACAATTTGTACAAAAAAGACTAAAAATAAAATACTTTGAGACGTCCGATCTAAGATCAAACGATGAATGGCTCTCTTGATCAAAATTGAACGGCTGGATGGTAGGGGGAGATAGAACTTCTATACCGTAGAGAAACCTTTCCCTTTAGTAAGGGGGTTTACATGGTTTTCCCTTTTTTAAAACTTTAATAGTGCTTGGTAGGGATTCACCAAATTTAGTTTCCAACAAAATGCATTCAAATTTTGGTTGTTAGAGACTTTGTCAATTTATACTTAGGCCTCTTAATCATGCTTGCCACAAGTTCAAGGCCCCCTTTTTTTTTTTTGTTGATATTGGTACTCAACTTCATTAATAAGATAGACTGATGTATTATTATTTTTTATTGTTATTGTTACTCAACTTCATTAATAAGATAGACGGATCCAGTGAGTATCATGTACTAGCTAAAGCAAGAATAAAACAAGGAAAACGTTTATATAATGTAGGGGCGTTAAACAATCAAATTAGAACTCATCTCAAAAATTTCATAAGAAGAGATTGTTTTGATGCTCATAATTCATAACTTAATCATTTTAACATCAAGATGCATTAAATTTTGAAAATAGTGCACCTATTTTTGGACAATTTTTAAAATTTTAAAGTTTTTTTTTAGTGCAAAAATGATTTTTAGTAGTATACCTGAGAGATGTTCTAAGATTTTGAAAATGATCAATATTTTGAAAGTAATACCCTTGGAAATAGTGCAATTACCTTGAAAACGTCAATTTTGATACGATGATCAAGATTTCGAAATCCATTTTGAAAAGCATCCATTTTGATATCTAAAAATGTACTATACAAAAAAAAAAGTCAATTTTGAAAATGATTTCTGATACCGTCAATTTTCTAGTACCCTTGGAAATAGTGCAACATCGGGGGAGAGAAGTATAACGTCCTTAAAATCGCTGCCTTCACCAATGCATTTCTAGCGTGATTACTCTCTCTTAACGCATGCTTAAATTTGGCTTCCTTACCTTTTGATTAGAGAGCAACATGTAGGTTTCATTATGTGACTTCTATGGGGCCTTGGATACATCTATGTAATTCCTAATAATAGATTTAGAATCTGGCCTATTTTTTAATTTTTTTTTTTTCCCTAACCTTAAAAATAATTAGAATATCCTTAGGACCACACTATCCAATAACATCGTAGATCACAAGACACCATGGTCTTGTTAGAAACTCAGAATACTGCTGAGAACTTCTTTTTTTAATTAATAAAGAATATATAAGGCTCCGTATAAATATACAATTAGTAACAATTTTGTATATACACCAACAGTTATTGATAATTACTAACTAATCTTATTATAATCCTAGACACCTAATCTTATTAAAAGATATATATCCATACATATACATATCTATATTGATATGTATTCAATATGTATTCATAATGATGTATATTAATATAGATAACCATACGCTAACACTCCCCCTCAAACTGAAGATGTTTTTACATAAAGCCGTTGGAGTTTGAACCATAAGTTGCATAAATGAACGATTTGGATTTTTAAGCCTTCACATGCAGGCAGGACCAATAGAAACAGTCGTTTCCATGCTCAGATTGCTTGAATAACAAGCGCAAAATGACACTTGGAAGAACCAATAGAACTCAGTGTGGATCCGAGACAGATTCAACAACTCGCAGTCCGAGACAAATTCAGTAACTCGCAGTCCAGAACAAAGATAAAAGCTGTTTTGTAAAGAGTCAAAACACGACTCGACAGATAGTAGAAACACGACTTGGAGGCCTTTGGAAGTGCTTCTGTGATCTATGAGTTTCTCTCACGAAACTGAGAGTGTTGATTGATTTAACCATGGAAGAAGGAGAGAGCTGAAGTTTATGGACGAAAAGGAGAGCTGCGGTTTTTGTGCATAGGGGGAAGGGATCAAAAAAGGAGACAGAGGCCCTCAATTGGATTGGATTGAATTTGAATTGCACACCATGGATGCAAAGGTAAGGAAAATCGCAAGAAATCGAAGCCGAGTAATTTAGAGAGAGGATTGATGGGTTGTAAAGGGATCAAAAGATGGGATGCAGTGTGAAGCCCATATTAATAACAGGTAAAGCGAATGAGGAATCTTATTTTGCGCACAAAGAGAGAGAGACAATATCAGAGAAGGTGCAACTGTTTGATAGAGAGTCGGAACGAATCTGAAGACGAGCTCAGATCCGGCAACCTAACCTCAGATCTAAGGTTGAGGAGCCCACGGCTCTGATACCCTGTTAGAAACTCAGAATATTACAAAGAACTCTCTTTTTTAATTAATAAAGAATATACAAGACCCCGTATAAATCTACTGCTAGTAACAGTTTTGGATAGACACTAACAATTATTGATAATTACTAACTAATCTTATCATAGTCCTAGACATCTAATCTTATCAAGAGATATATACCCATACATATACATATCCATATTGATATGTATTCAATATGTATGCATAATGATGTATATCAAATATAGATATCCATACGCTAACAGGTCTATGGTCCCTATTTCATGATCCCTTATCCAAGAATAATCAAAATATGGGATAAATATCACGTTTAAATGAGATAACAATCATCTAAAAAAATGTGTGACAGATAGCGAAAATAAAAAATCTCGCTATTTGGCTGTCTTTGATACAAATGACAAGTATTGTGTCTGGATAGACTTGACAAACACCATTTGTGTCTGGATAGACTTGACAAACACCATTTGGAGCCAAGTTTTTGTGTCTGGTCACAGTACGTGCTTGTGTCACCTAGGCCATTTGGTGTTAAGTTTTTGTGTTTAATCAACACTGAGCTTAGAGGACACAATTAATGTCATCTAAACCCCGATGACCCAGATAACACGTCTCGTGTTGTCCAAATCTTTGACCTCCAGAATTTCAAATTTGGAGTTGAACCAGCTGGATAAGTATTCCAAATCTCTTCCCAACCACTCAGAGGTCTGTCTATAAAAGGATTGAAGTCTAATCTCTTGAGGGTTGGTCACAAAAATCACTAAAGCGCATTAAATGAGTAAAGTGAGATACTTAGAAATGTAGGAGAGAGAAGAACCATGAATCCCATTAGCAAGACCCATATTTTTCTCTCTAACTATTAAATCTAGGAAAACCCTAACTTGGAAACCTAAGAGTCTTATTTCAACCAAAGGTAAGGCTTGGTCATTACTAAAGAGAAAGAAGAGGATAAATAGTGCAAAGTGAAGCCGCGGTCGTGATACGGGCGACGCTTCAAGCTTTGGGCATCCTAGGCCAACTGCCCCAGGCAAGTAAGTCTCTATTTTCCTTACTTTCACTTAGTTTAGTTAGATCTTAATTTCAATTGCATTCTCTGAAGTACTTTAGATTAAAGATCATGCCGGCCCTGCCTATGATCTAAGGGAAGATCTACCCATCTGAGTCATCAGCCCCTAGATCATAATTTGACTGGCCTCCATGACTTCTCTACCTATTGTAGTTAACTAGTTTGTAGTGTTAGAATGGGTAAATAGTTTAAAAATGACACGACACGTGTTGTCTATAGATTTAGGAAAAAACGACCTAAATCATGTCGTCTAACATGAGGACCCCAGGAAATTCGGGGACAATTTAGGAAAACCCCTCGAACCCTCCAATTTTTA